AAAAAACAGGGTTTTAATACAACTTTACCACACTTTTTACTGTACAATTTTGCACTTGTTCATACTATTTGTAGTTTATACTTGTATATACTTGTATATTCTACTTCACTACATTTCAGAGGGAAATATTGTATTTCACTGCATGTATCTGATACATTTAGGTAGTCTACTAGGACTTTATAGTTCAAGAGTTTACCTACCTTTTACCTTTTTCTTAAAACAAAATATTAAAAACACATTAGATGTAAACGTGTTGCTGCTTTTCTTAAAAACAAAGATTTCTTACTTTCTTAACGGGAATATTGTAGTTCAACGGTTCTTCAGGCTTGTCCCAAGAGATCACATCTCCTGACACACACACGCACACACACACACGCACACACACACGCACAGGATTTCAACACCTCCTCCTTGACTCCGTGCAGCCAGCAGGCAGAGCTGTTACCTAGTTACGAGCAAGAGATGGAGCGACTGTTATAATGTTGCTGCGGTGACTTTCAGCCATCAGTCGGTCCGGGAACAGACGGAGGAAAAACCCACCGGAGGAGCGGACAGTTTCACGGCTGAGGATGAAGGTTAAACACGTCCTGACAGAGAATAAACCAACTGCAGCTGCTCGTCTCGCGTTGTTTCATCATTAAATCCTAAAATCACCACACCAGACCGGGCTTTGGAAGATCACGGTTTGAAAAGTCTCGTCATAAAGGTGAGTCAAAGAGTACATGTAGTGATAATTATGGACGTTTTTTTCTTCTTTTTTTTTTTTTTTTACCGTAAATGACCGTGAGACAGCAGTGAGTGTCTGTTGAATCCTCGTGTCTCTGTCCTCACTTCTGCATTGAGAGTGTTAAGAACGTTTGACAACATTTAAACCCTAAACACACTAAAACCCTTTAAACGTTGATAATTAATCCCAAAGGCGGATTAAGAATTTGTTTAATGGGCACAGATTAATACAATTTGTAGGCTATAAGATTCATACGTGGTTCTCTGCAATAATAAACTGTACTTTATTTTACTTATTCAGAGTAATAAACGCTAAATTTACAACGTTAAATATTGTTATATGAAATAATGCCATATGCAGCTATTTCTTCATATAACCCACAGCCATGGACAGATTATGAGGCTATGGGCCCCTGGATTTATAAAAGGCCCCCAAGCAGCAAGACCCACAGTCTGAACGAGACACAAAACGAGAAGACCAGTTTGTCTTTTGCATCTCTTAGTGGTCGTTTTGAGTCTCTTATGTTTCTTTGTAGTCATTTTGTGTCTCCTTGTAGTCATTTTGTGTCTCCTTGTAGTTATTTTGTGTCTCCTTGTAGTCGTTTTG